GCTGTCTGCTTCTTGGGTGTGCAAGAAGAGCAGAGCCTCAAGTAGACACTCCAAGAGATCTGTGAACTCATACAAGACACCAGCGTGTCCCTTAACCCAGTGCTACCAAGCAGATGTGGAAATAAGAAATTGATAAAGATTCAAGTCACTTTTATTTAGGAGAGTTACTCGGAACGAAATATCTACAGGTTTCGGGAATATCATTCTCCTTAAGCAGTTTACTAAGGAATCATTATAAAAGCCAGCATTATATAGCCCTTCTCACATGCCAAGCACTGTTCTATGTACTTTACACATACTAGGTTATTTAATCCACAAAACAACCTTCCAGCCAGGTACTGTTACTATCCCAAACTACAGATTAGGAAATGAAGGCACTGAGGTATTATAATACTTGCCCCTCAAACACCCAGCTACTAAATATAAAAGCAGGGATTGAAGCTTGGTTTTATTTTTAACACAACTGTTAAAAATAAAATAGTATGCAGCCATAGGAAGACTGGAACTTAAATGGAGATTAATGAATGTCATTATCTCCAAGTGATAGGTTTGTGGCTCTTCTTTTGCTTTTCTCTGTTTTCTATATTTCTACCATACATTGCTTTGAGAAAATCATAAGTGCTGTTTTAAATCCTGACCCTAAAATCTGTAACCTACAATAGGCTGTGAAGATAACTGTCTTGAAAGGCTCTGGAGTAGAAACAACATAAGCAGTCTAGATCACTTGATTTCCTAATGACCAAACTTTATAGAGTAACACAAGGAAAGTGACTCAAATATATTTCTCTCCAGTCCTGTAAGCAGCCAATAAACTGTCTACTCCTTGAAATGTCACTTGGGGCTGTATAAGGTGAAGGAGTCTCAAAGGAAGAATGAATTTCCCATCTATAACAAGCCCTAATAGAGGAGCTCAATATGAACAGTGGCGCTTAGTACTTACAGGACAAACACAGACTTTCACACAAAATTTTCCATTAAAAATCATAATACAAAAGTCAATTGTATCTATATGTAGCAGTAGTGAACAACTGGAATTTGAAGTTAAAAATCATACTATATGGAGCCAGGTACCATGGCACCCACTTGCAGCCCCAGCTACTCAGGAGGAAGAGGTAGGAGGATGGCTTGAGCCCAGGAGTCAGAGGCTGCAGTGAACCATGTTGGCCTGTGAATAGCCACTGCACTCCTTACCACAGGCCCAACTCTAAAAAAAATCATACTATATAATCTGGCTTAATTCACAAAATACACATAAGGTGACACACATAATGGATGTAGGAAGCAACTGAAATGTTAAAATATGATCAAACCAATTTGGATGCAATCTTAAGAATACTCCTAAGGAGGCCAGGAGTGGTGGCTCACACCCATAATCCTAGCACTTTGGGAGGTCTACATGGGTGGATCACCTGAGGTCAGGAGTTGGAGACCAGCTTGGTGAACATGATGGAACCCCATCTCTACTAAAAATGCAAAAATTAGTCAGATGTCGTGGCAGGAGCTTGTAATCTCAGCTAGTTGGGAGGCTGAGGCAGGAGAATTGCTTGAATCTGGGAGGTGGAGGTTGTAGTGAGCCGAGATTGCACCACTGCACTCCAGCTTGGGCAACAGAGTGAGACTATTTAAAAAAAAAAAAAGGAAAAAAAAGAAGAAGAATACTCTCAAGCTTTATCATGATATCATGATGGATGTTTAACATAAACATAACTTTTTTTTAATGCACAAAGATAGAAGATGGCAAACCAAAATTTAGAAAACTATCGATTTAGACCACTTGTCTTCCCCAGACAAAAAAGTGATAATTGATTCATAAAATGCTGATAACTTCTTGTATTGATTGACCTGTCTTTTTCGTTATTCTTATTTCTTTAATAAACAGCCAGACTTTCCTTTCTCTTTCTTTTTAAAAATAAGAGGATTGCTGATGGAAGCTGAGGTCTCATTTTCCTAGGTTTACATATCTGTGTTCTCACTGTTCTGAGGTTCTCAGATCCTCCTTTGGGAATGGAGTGCTTATTCCTCCAGCCTTTGGGTGTGCTGTGCTGCCAGCTCCCTCTGCAAAAGAGCGCCACCTTGCCCAAAGCCATGGTCCCTTCCCTGAGCAAGCTGCATTCAGCAACTGGATAATGTAGCCCTATAAAAGCTTAGCCTTCTTGCCTTAAATGCGGACAACCCTGTGAGGCCATTTCAGCTCCAGAGGTCCCCATAGGGTCAGCCAACTCTTGGCTGACACCACATTCCAGCTTAGCGTCTCCATCTGTCCACCCTGCTTCCCTCCCTTCCCCTTCAGGGGTGTTGATCGCAACATATGTGCTACTGGGAGGTGTGGTCCCTGGCTGGGCATCCACTTCCCAACACGAACTTGACACTATGGAAGAGGAGCACAAATCTTTGGTGGGCAGTTGGCCTCTCTGCCACACTGTGTCTCCAGTACACGCTTTGAAGCCCATCTAGCAAATAACACGGGGAAGGAAAGCTGTGCTATCTTCCTTGCACAGATTCAGAAAGTGTTCTCACAAAACAAAGAGGGCACTTTTGGAATACCAGCAGGGAACATGTCTGAATTTGGGTGGGGCTTCAGGAGACCACAGGAGGCAGGATGGCAGCTGCTTAGCCTACTGTTTGTTCTAATCCCCTGAGCTGTCCTGTCCCTGGTACCATGATCGCACCGTGTTAATTAAATCATTCTCATTAATTCAGCCCAAGTGTAAATTAGGAAGGAATGAAGATAAATTAGGTTTGAAGGCAGCTAATACATTTAACCCCATGCTGCTTATTTTGCGGCCTAACAAAATAACATTGTTAAGGGAGATAACAAGCCCAAAGCCTTGGGCACAGCTTCTTAATAGCATTAAAAAATGAGACTTTGGTTTGATGTCACAAGACAGAGGCAAAGACCTGCTCCCGGGGGCCTACAGGACTGGCCTAATATCTTGTGTGAAGTGTTGGCTATTGTGTAACGCGGAGACAGTACAAGCAGCATTTCCTGACTTGTTTGTGACTCAGATATCTGCTATGTCTATGGCCGTCCAGTTTTGATGACAGCCCTGTTTAGAAGTTTCTTCCTGTACAGAATGAAGACTTGCTCAGCTTTTCTTTGTGTGAGTGGGGTGATAAGCGTTACCTTTAGGATTGGCTGAGAGATGCTGTGGGATTACACAGTTTGAGTTGCTATGATCATAAATTTGCTAACTTGCAAATCATTTTCAGCTGAGATAAACATTAAAAACTGCCCAACTGCCCGAAAACCAGTCATACATTGGCTCAAGCAAAACGGAGTACAGTTTGTAGGAGGTCATCAGTAGCACACATGATTTCCAAACTTGCAAGTTTAGTTCTTGTGACTTTCAGCAGGAAAATGTTTTCCAGATTTTAGAACTTACATAAGCTAATGTCTTTCTCTTGTGTTGCTTGTCTACCCGAGGCAGATGAAGCAAATGTATATGGTCACTGAATGCATTTCAAGATTTTCCAGTCTACAGCGTTTTTTCTTTCTTTTATTGAAGCATAGAAAGTGGCAACATTAGGTAGAAAAGATACGGGAAAGTGGCACCAGTGGATGGTGATACAATGGCCAGAGGATTTCTTTCCTTTCTCAGCCCTGCCTGCTTAGCAAAGTTCTTCGCAAAGAGATCTGAACTTTGCTGTTCCCTTGGTTAAGGGCATCCCGTAGTTTCCAGGCGGTAAAGATACATACCTGTCCCTAGTTCGGTCGCTTCCAGTGGCAAAATCTCCAACCAACCAGCTGAGCTATGTACAGAGTCCATTTCTAGGCAAGGGCATCTAGGTGCCTTTTTAGGTAGATTTGACTCACAAAGGAGGCAGACAGAGCGGGTCTAGGAGGTGTCTAAAAGGTGCGTTGGTGGCTGCCTTGATGAGCTCCCCCACACCTTGCCACAGGCCACAGAAACATGTTTTAAAAAGACACATGTGCAATAGTTACACATTTCCACCTCCCATCTTTTCAGCACCTATCTCTGGAGTCTGCAGAGTTTCCAACTGTCTGGTCTTCGCTTCAGAACCTGGGTGCTGCTTGCCCGCGCTCTGTAACCTCGCAGCGCCCCTGACTCTCCATTCGCGGTTCTTGCCATGAATTGATCCGGGCTGTGTCTGTGAAGCAGCCTCAAGCCGAGACTGACTCTGCATTAAAAATATATATATTGAAAGGTTCGTGGTGAGGCTGCCGAGTTAATGCTAACAAAGGACTTCAGAGGGCACTGTCTTTCTTTGTTTGCAAGGAGCGAAATTTCTCGGCGCAAATACCAAGAGGGAACAAGGGTAAAGGAAAGTGAAATTAGAGTGAAGAACTGACAGTCTTCGTTTCAGCAGTCTGGACTCTGGAAGCGCCACGGTGGGTCCTCCGCAGCCAGTTTAAACCGCTCCTGCACCTAGTGTTTTAAAGCAAGCTGGGAGGCGAAGCGCGGGCGCTTGGGAACGCGGGGACCCGGGGACGGAATTAACTCTGTCGTGGGGCCCTCACTCTGGTCGAGCTGCAGAGCTGGGACATTGTTGCTAAGTGACTACAAGCCAGGCAACTCACATCTCCCTGGGCCTCGGTTTCCCACCTGTAAAACAAGGGGGCTGGACCGGTCATCTATCCCGTTCCTTTATACACTTAATTCCAAACACCGAATAAAAAACTGACATTTTAGCTCCCAGTGGAAAGACAAGTCTCTAGTTGCAAAGATAAATGGGATTCGTAAAAGTGATCACCACGCGAGATTATTTTTCGAATCGCCTTCCTTTCTCCTGGCACGCAGGGCTATTAAACGTGTGTGTGTGCTGAGCCATTTCTTTACTGAACTCCAAACTAACACCACCGAGCGATAAAAAACAGGAAAGGGTGATGGAGGCTTTATCGCTAGGAGAGGAGGCGGCGTGGCTGCTGCTTTGAGGAGTTCACTTTGAATCAAGCGGCCGCGGCGATTGGCTGAAAAGCACGTGGTGCGCGCCCCGCAGAACTGCACCCCGGCTGCCGCTGCAGTCGCCTGGCTTAGGGCAGAGTCCAGCCGGGGGTGCCGCACCCGCTGGGGAATGAAGAGGGAGGACACATGGGAAATGCCTGGGGCTGGAGTCTCTTTGGCTCTCTGCCAGCAAGAAACTTAGAAGTCCTGGCTTGCTCAACCCGACTGTCCCCAAAGCTTTCAGACTTTTGCCCTTCCATTGCCACTATCTCTCCCCACTCTGGGCGTCCTACCCAAGGAGCTATCTATGCGTGCCCAGGGCCTGTCCTGTGGATATCCAGTTCGCCCCTTGCTGCTAGAGCATCGCGCGGGCTCTGGCATCACCGAGCGTACAACGCCGGGCTGCGCTCCCCTGAGGTGCGTCCCTCAGATCCGGGACTGTCCATTAACCAGGCTGGCTCAAAGAGGCGCAGACACACTCGAACCCGGGAAAACTTATTTTATTCTCGGTTCCCGGGGTTGCAGCTGCCAGCGGCTGAGACAGCGCGTCCGCTTTGTCTCTCTGCAGTCCCCGCAGCCCCCCTCTCCCGCTTCCTCTCCCGATTAACTCCCCCGACACGCTCTTCCCCAGCTCCTCTCCTCCTCCCACTCCTTCTCCTCCTCTTCCTCCTCCTACACCACGGGCCGCGCTAATGCGCTTCCTCCCTCCCCCGGTGTCGGTCTCTTTGCATACGCGCCCCCTCCCCTCCCCTCCCCGCCGCGCCACTTATAGCGGGGCGCACCGCGGCGGGGCGCAGACTGCTCTGGCAGCCGGAGAGGAGGCGGTGCGGCGGTGGCGCTGCGGAGACCGGGTCCAGACGCCTGGCGGCAGCCGGCGCACAAGGCGCTTTCTAGCTCCCTCCCCCGAGCGCACAGCCCGCCTCCTTCCGCGGCGCCTGCAGTGGCAGGCTTGCTCTCCGCTCCGGTGACGCGCTCCGGTAGACGCTCTGCGGGTCCTGGACGCCGGGTGCGCGGCGTGGGGACAAGAGGCAGAGGCGAACGCCAGCGGTAGCCAGTCCGCGAGCCATCGTTCGGGGTGCAGTCCTCTCCCCGGCTGGCGCTCCTTTCTCCGGGGCATTCGCCACCGCTTCCCGGGGCTGAGACGACCGGTTCGTCGCCTCCTTGCCCGTGACCGACGCTAGAACTCAGTTGTGCGTTACGGCCAGTCGCCACTGCTGTAAGTTTCCCCCACTGCCCCGGACCTGTTGCAGGCGCTGCGGGCTTCAGGGGCTGCTTCGGCTGCAGGGGTGTGTTCGCGAGGGGTGAGCGTGCTCCGGGCAGCCGGCAGCTTCCACTTGAGGCCAAGGGGAGCTCTTCTAGGTGCGGAGACCAGGGTGCCCGCCGCTGCCCTCCCACAGCAGGCAGGAGCCGGGCATCGCCAGAGAGGTCGACCGGCGGTGCAATGTCCGGGCGAGCCGCTGGGGAAGCGAGGAGCAGAGCTAAGGAGACAGTCAGCCTCTCTCCTCCGCGGAAAGCAGCGCTTTCCTGGGGGTGAATGTCGCGCTGCGTCGCTCCCCGCAGCCTCCAGGGCGGAGCGCGCGGAATCGTTGGCCCACGTTGCATCCTTCCCGGCTCAGAGGAAAGTTGGGGCCACGCACAGACACCCTGAGTGCGGGCATGTTCACTGCGGCGGAAGTGTCTTATAGAGAATGAATGAAAACTGCTTTCTGGAAAACTAGTTTCTTGATCTGTCGTGTTAACATTATTAGTTACAAAGGATAGGAATTGGTGGGCGGGGAGATGAAACATTGAATTTATCCACATGCAGTTTGGTGTCACACAGGCATGGCCAGCTTGTTAAATAGCTTTGCAATAAAAAGACTGGCAAGAAGCTACTTTTGTTAACAAGATCTTTATAATGTTCTATTGTTACCGGTAATATAAATGCCCAGAAAAAAATCTGCCTAGTTTCTCTTTTGATTGGATTGAGATCAGGTTCAAAACCTGGAGAAGCGGGACGCTAAGCATTGGAGGCAGAGAGCCTGAATAAGGAGCATGAAGTGAACTGAAGTTACTGTAACTGAAGCCCTTTTGATGTTCACAGTAATAGCAGCCCTTTTCTCTGTCTTCTTTGTAGACGCAGGTTAAGTAGAACTGTGCATTTTCTTGGCCACTTACTTGGTATGCAAATGTGATTTCTCTGGGGGCTTAAAAATGCTGGAAAGATGATTCATTTTATGTTGAAGGTGTGTTCAGTGACTTGTATACATGGTTTCTGCTGATATTTTGAAGTTTGCACACTTTTAAGCCAGAAAGCAAGTCTTTCCCCTTGGGTTTCCAAGTTTACTTTTTATTTTAATCAAACATTGTTGCAAGAATGTTGATTGTGATTTTGGCTGTGACGTGCTTTTCCATCTGGATGGTATCCAAGATGACAGGCTAGGCTCTTCCTTCTGGCTTGTTGGGCCAGCCTGGAACATACAGGAGCATAAACACAGGATGCGGAGAGATGTAGATCCTATATCCTAAGGTCTTCTAAACAAATTGTTTTCTTAGGTGTAGGTCTGGTTGTGAATGTTGTTTTGCACCATCCTGAATCTAATGTTCAGGGAAATGTGTTCTGGGCCCAGCATGATTCCAGCTCAATGTGTAAGCATTTTGGTGCCTGTGCACCTAGTTTCAGGGAACCTCATTCTTCCTTCAGTCAGGGCAGCATTTGCTCTTAGCCTGAGAGGCAATAGCTTCATAGGAGTACGTAGACAGTCTATCCAGGTTTAGACTTAAAGTCTTCCTCCAAATACTTCAGACTGAATGTACTAATTAAAATAACAACTACAGTGGTGGAGCTTTGAGAATGCTAATAGATGTTTTAACCCTTTGGAAACCTGATGCATTCCCCTAGGTTCACATGGTCATTTTCCAGAACACTGGGCATTGGTTAGAATGGAGTAGACAGTAGACACTTAGCTTGAGGTGGGAGTGAGGCTGGCTCCTCACCATTTTTTATATCCCAAGTCACTGTGGAGATTACTGGGTGCTTTGTAAAGTCTGCCTAACACTGGAGCTCTAGGACTTTGTTGCTTCCTTTCTTCCACTAAGCCATGTTTACTCATCATAAAAAATTACATTCCAAAAAGGAAAGAAAACTAGTTGCATCACCTAATGGCATGAGGTATATGTGTCCTGCCCCTGCCTTTGTGGTTTTCTGTGCAGTCTCACAGTGGGGCTCACATCTGGTTGGGGAGGTGCAAGTTAGTATTTTAGCCCATGAATCTGTGGCAAATCATTCATTTGCATTTATTAATAATTCTTAGAATGTAAATTTAAAAATATCTGAATGGTTAAGGGAAACAGAGTTTCAGCTGGGCTTTCAGAACTGGCTGTTCTGTGTCTGGAACACATACTGTAACCAGCCACACAGTTTACCCTCTGGGGATAAACAACGGGATAAACAGCTTCCTTAGGAATCCTTGGACAGGCAGCTTCTTGAGGACTTCATTCCTTTGAAGTAACAGAGGGGTGGTATAAAAGAAAAGGATGAAGGCATGTGATTCAGTTTTTGAAGATGGATGACAAGCATTTCCTATGTCTCTACCCTACTGTTTTCTTACTGAAGAAAGCCAAAAGATAGCATTAGATTCTACTATAATTTCAATGTAGATACTGAGGAAAGCACTGTAGTCGGCAAATAAATTCTGGGGTGGTCCTAAATGAACAACAGCTGGCAAAATACACACACACACACACACACACAGAGACACGTATTTTTTGATTTAAATAGAGCAGTGTTTGCATTTTGAACTCCCTCTATGCAGGTGCCAGCATTTGCAGGTATATAGGAACAGTCCTGGTGATGCACTATTTAATCAAAAGACAGGGGTGGATCTTTTGTTCTTGCAACTGGTTTTCCAAGAATTGATATAAAGCGGGAAGAACAGAAAACAGCAGTCATGAGTATGCAACTCAAAATATTCTTCTTTTTATGTGCCAAATCCTCACATTGGAAGCTGTCCAGAGCAAGACAGGTAGTTGGTGATTATGGCCAGAATTTATTCCGTGCTTTGACTAAAGGCTTGCTGATCAATATATGGTTATTCAAATTGGGGTGCTTTTAGGACTCCTCAGTGGTAGAGCTGTGTGGTTAGAAATTAATCTTTAAGTTGGGATGCCGAGGTGGGAGGAGCAGGAGTTTGAGACCCTGTCTCTACAAAAAATACAAAAAATTATCTGGGTTTGGTAGTGCACACCTTTAGTGCCAGCTACTCGGAAGGCCAAGGCAGGAGGATCACTTGAGTCCAGGAGTTTGAGGCTTCAGTGAACTGTGATTGCACCACTGCCCTCAAGCCTGGGTGACAGAGAGAGAGACTTGGTCTCAAAAATATGTATAAAATGAAATACATTATCTGTAACTTTTAAATAAAGGTCTGATCATTGCAGAAGTTGGCCTTACATATCCCATTTACTGTATGTGCTGGGAGACTGGCTCTTACCAAAGGACTTCTTAATGGAATTAATTGTTAGGTGTTTGTTTTACACATGGCTTTATGTTGCATGAGGCATGAAAGCCAGTGCCCATCCTGGCATTATGAGAGCAGGAGACCTGGCATTTTAAGTGGCCCGCAGTGAATCAGCTGGACTATGACAGGGAGCTGTGAGAATGAGACCTCACTCCTCTTGGCTTTTGCTGACTTATATTCTAAAAGACTTCAATGGCCTGAAAGTTGGCAATCAGGTTTTCCAAGATCAACCTGCTTTTTATGCAGTGATTTTTTTTTTAAATGGTGCAGAGTTCAAATAGCTCAACAGTATTATAGTGAATATCTTTCCTTCTGGGTAGTCGTCTCTGGCTTTGTCCTGGAATGGCCATACACTATTCTAGAATAGTAGGTGGCATGGTCAACTACAAAGTGTTCTGTTTTTTGTCCCAAACCATTGTTGCTTTCGTTCTGCTGTTCTGAACATCAGGAGCATCATTTTCAATTTGTTATTATTATTATTTTCAGGAGTGGAAACAAAATGTCAGTCAGCGTGCATGAGAACCGCAAGTCCAGGGCCAGCAGCGGCTCCATTAACATCTATCTGTTTCACAAGTCCTCGTACGCTGACAGCGTCCTCACTCACCTGAATCTTTTACGCCAGCAGCGTCTCTTCACTGACGTCCTTCTCCATGCCGGAAATAGGACCTTTCCTTGCCACCGGGCAGTGCTGGCTGCGTGCAGTCGCTACTTTGAGGCCATGTTCAGTGGTGGCCTGAAAGAGAGCCAGGACAGTGAGGTCAACTTCGACAATTCCATCCACCCAGAAGTCTTGGAGCTGCTGCTTGACTATGCGTACTCCTCCCGGGTCATCATCAATGAAGAAAATGCAGAATCGCTCCTGGAAGCTGGTGACATGCTGGAGTTTCAAGACATCCGGGATGCATGTGCAGAGTTCCTGGAAAAGAACCTGCATCCCACCAACTGCCTGGGCATGCTGCTGCTGTCTGATGCGCACCAGTGCACCAAGCTGTATGAACTATCTTGGAGAATGTGTCTCAGCAACTTCCAAACCATCAGGAAGAATGAAGATTTCCTCCAGCTGCCCCAGGACATGGTAGTGCAACTCTTGTCCAGTGAAGAGCTGGAGACAGAAGATGAAAGGCTTGTGTACGAGTCTGCAATTAACTGGATCAGCTATGACCTGAAGAAGCGCTATTGCTACCTCCCAGAACTGTTGCAGACAGTAAGGCTGGCACTTCTGCCAGCCATCTATCTCATGGAGAATGTGGCCATGGAGGAACTCATCACCAAGCAGAGAAAGAGTAAGGAAATTGTGGAAGAGGCCATCAGGTGCAAACTGAAAATCCTGCAGAATGACGGCGTGGTAACCAGCCTCTGTGCCCGACCTCGGAAAACCGGCCATGCCCTCTTCCTTCTTGGGGGACAGACTTTCATGTGTGACAAGTTGTATCTGGTAGACCAGAAGGCCAAAGAAATCATTCCCAAGGCTGACATTCCCAGCCCAAGAAAAGAGTTTAGTGCATGTGCGATTGGCTGCAAAGTATACATTACTGGGGGGCGGGGGTCTGAAAATGGGGTCTCAAAAGATGTCTGGGTTTATGATACCCTGCACGAGGAGTGGTCCAAAGCTGCCCCCATGCTGGTGGCCAGGTTTGGCCATGGCTCTGCTGAACTGAAGCACTGCCTATATGTGGTTGGGGGGCACACGGCCGCAACTGGCTGCCTCCCGGCCTCCCCCTCAGTCTCTCTAAAGCAGGTAGAACATTATGACCCCACAACCAACAAATGGACCATGGTGGCCCCACTCCGAGAAGGCGTTAGCAACGCCGCAGTAGTGAGTGCCAAGCTCAAGTTGTTTGCTTTTGGAGGTACCAGTGTCAGTCATGACAAGCTCCCCAAAGTTCAGTGTTACGATCAGTGTGAAAACAGGTGGACTGTACCGGCCACCTGTCCCCAGCCCTGGCGTTACACAGCAGCAGCTGTGCTGGGGAACCAGATTTTTATTATGGGGGGTGATACAGAATTCTCTGCCTGCTCTGCTTATAAATTCAACAGTGAGACTTACCAGTGGACCAAGGTGGGAGATGTGACAGCAAAGCGCATGAGCTGCCATGCTGTGGCCTCCGGAAACAAACTCTACGTGGTTGGAGGATACTTTGGCATTCAGCGATGCAAGACTTTGGACTGCTACGATCCAACATTAGATGTGTGGAACAGCATCACCACCGTCCCGTACTCGCTGATTCCTACTGCATTTGTCAGCACCTGGAAACATCTGCCTTCTTAAATGCAGTACATTCTAAAGAGAGTGAGTACGAGGTAAGAAGTTTAGCTATAGATGCAAGTCTGCATATAATGAGGCTATTGCGTAAGTTCAGTACATGGGGTGAGATCTGATCCACAGAGACTGTACTGCAGAGGTACTACCAAAGCTGTAAAAATAAGAGAGCTGGTGCCCCTAGAACCTACCAACTTGTGTTGACCACAGCCTCAGCCCCCCAATGGCATTAGCCAGTGGTTCTCAGCTTTTACTGAGCTTCAGAATCTCCTGAAGAGCTTTTTATTTATTTTATTATTATTATTTTTTGAGACAGAGTCTCGCTCTGTCACCCAGGTTGGAGTGCAGTGGCATGATTTTGGCTCACTGCAAGCTCCGCCTCCCGGGTTCACGCCATTCTCCTGCCTCAGCCTCCCGAGTAGCTGGGATACAGGCGCCCATCACCATGCCCAGATAATTTTTTGTATTTTTAGTAGAGATGGGGTTTCACCATGTTAGCCAGGATGGTCTTGATCTCCTGACCTCATGATCTGCCCACCCCAGCCTCCCAAAGTGCTGGGATTACAGGTGTGAGCCACCACGCCCGACCCTGAAGAGCTTTTTAAAAACTGCCCATCCCAGAGACTTAGTTTCATTTGGTTTGGGGTGGGGTCCAAACATCAATATTTTTAGAAAGTTTCCGGATGATTCCAATGAACAACCAGGTTGAGAACCCCTGACCTCTTTGAGAATGCCAGCTAATGTTTATTGAGCCCTCACTGTGTGCTTGCAGCAGTGCCACGTGGTTTCCCAAGATCGTCTCATTCTATCCTCACAACAACTCTGTGGGGAATTATTACTGGCTTCGTTTTATAGATGAAAAAACTTCATGCATTAAGGAGGCTAAGCTGCCGAGTGAGCAGAGCTTAGTAAGTGGTGGAGCTGGTCAGGAAATCAATGCAGGGGGTCTGGCTCCAGACATCTGCGCTGGAGCATCGTGTTGCACTGCCACTGAATAAACTTGAGCTTCACATCCATGACACCAATGTCATCCCAGGTGATACTCCATTTCTATTCAAATTGTGCTTCCTCAAACCCTTTGTGGAATGAATAGGGTTTAAAAAATGTATTGCCCAAATTCATTCCTAGTTTATTCTCTCCAAAATTGTTAGCTTATTTTAAATATTTTCCTTAAAAAGTAGCACCCTTTAGGGCATTTATTACCTTTAAAGATAAATCTGTATCTGTCTTTGTAAAAGGCTGCATGTACGTAGCAGAAATTTGTGCAGATAACACTGAGCCACCTAAACTTCCCAAACTATGGCCTTTCAGACTTAATCAGTCAGGCTGCCCCTATTGTCAAGGCTATTGTCAAAGTTGTGTTTCTGCATCATATATCTGAGTACATAATAGTTGTCTGTGTATTTAAGAGTATATAATACTCTTGGCTCAGATAATTAATAGGCCTACACAGTTCAGAGTTCGCAAAGCTCATGGCTGCTTTGCTGCTAAGCATTCTTAGGATTGGCCCCAGGAATTGCTTAGGCGTGTGTAAGTATAGCCCAGCGCACACAGAATGTGTTGATTTGTTTTGGTGATTCATGGGCTTATTACTAATAATAAGAGAAGAAAGTAACTGCTTTGGAGGAACTACAATGAAAACAAACTCATTTACTTGGGAACTTTTGGCTCTGTTTTCCCTTGTATATTTCACACCTTTGAAGGGGACTTCAAAGGGAGAAAAGGAGATCTAGGCCTAGTGGCAAGCTAAGCACAGAGGGGTTTCATCTCATTGGTCTTTTCTTTCCCCATCCCTTACAACTCATTTAGAAACATCATTAAACTTGGCCTTACTCTCACATTTCAGCTTGCTATTTGTTTTTTTTTTTTGAGACAGAGTCTTATTCTATTGCCCAGGCTGGGGTGCAATGGCGAGATCTCGGCTCGCTGCAACTTCCGCCTCCTGGGTTCAAGCGATTCTCCTGCCTCAGCCTTCCAAGTAGCTGGATTGCAGCACCCACCACCACACCTGGCTTTTTTGTATTTTTAGTAGAGATGCGGTTTCACCGTGTTGGTAAAGCTGGTCTTCAACTCCTGACCCCAAGTGATCCACCCACCTCAGCCTCCCAAAGTGCTGGGATTACAGGCATGAGCCACCGCGCACAGCCTTCAGCTTGCTATTTTTTTCACTTCTTCAGTTATCTCTTCCACCCTTCGTACAGTTATCAGAGTTCTGAGTTATGTCATGCTTTCCTGGAATGAAACTCCTTCAAAACAGCAGGAACAGTCAGACACCTCCTCTGGGGAGCAACTGGGCTAATAACGTCCCACACCAAACTGGGTTTTTGTAGCCTTGCTGGCATCTCAGTAATCTTGAATAAACAAATGCTCTGAAAGTGGTTATTTCATTTGAGATATGAATGCATGACTCACCTCTAAAGCAGGTTTAAAGAACCTCCTAGGCAAAAGCATCAATTAACAGCACACTTAGTTGGGTGTTAGTCCAGAACTGACTATATTTGCACAGAAGAGCCATAAAAATTGCTACCAGGGTGGTGGTACATAACGACAATGGGCAGGCTGGCTGGCATCCTTGGAACAAGATAAGGAAATTAAGGCAGAAAGAGGAGAGAAGCCACATGTGTATTCTGGCCCTAGTTTTTTAGTTCTAGACCTTTCTGAGTTTTAGGTTGCTTCTCTGTCAAATGAGTGGTTTGATCTATAATTCCCCTGTGATCTATCCCAACTCAGACTTGGGTCAATTGATAGGAGAATTAAAAGAGGTGAAAATACCTAGCCCAGTGATTGGCATGTAGTAAGTATTCAATATTCAGTTTAGACCCTAACTTACTGTGAGATAATGGCAGTGGAATTAGCTTTGTGTGTGGCAGGAAAATGAGGTTTCTTTGACTTTTATCTGCTTGTTATCTTTAGACTTCATTTTTGGTTCCTCCTTTTTCAGCCCAGAGTGAACATGTTGGCAAACACTTGACTTCACCCTACCCTGGGTGTTTGAACTGAATCATACCCTTCCGGTCCCTGGGAAACAGAGCAAGTAAAGTGTTAATTTATACGTGAAATAACATCCTCTTGTTCATCCTTGGTGCTACCAGTGAGAGAGTCAAACACATAAAAACTAAATTTGACAGGGCCAAGTTTGCTGCTTTTAAAGGGCAGCGTAAGCGCCTGATCAAAGCCACTCTTTGAATTTCCGACAGGGAGAATGTTGGTTAAAATTTCTAAAGTTTACTACACAAGATAGTGCTAAAACATTTAAGAGGGGGTTGGAGTGCCCTAAAGTGCTGGGTAGGTAGGTCTCAGTCCCAAACTGCAAATTCCTCTGCCCTCCAAATGTAGGTGTTAACTGAATTAATACAGTGTTTAACAGAAAGTTTCCTTAGGTCTTAAAGCTCATCCACCAAGGAGGTTTTATCTGCCTCCTGCTGCTCTGTCAGTGGGTGGGAAGGGCAGAGAGGAAATTACTTTGATTATCCTCTGTTTTCACGGTGCCCGTGTGGCCTCAACCTAACTTAGGCTTTGATTTGCTTTGTTTCTTCTCTAGATTTTTTTTTTTTTTTTGGTATGTGTCCTTTTTTATTTTCCCGTTTGAATATGCAATTTTGGGGGGGTGGTGTGTATTCCTTTTTTCCTGTTTGAATATGCGATGTCTTGAAATTTTATATTATTACAAGATACATTCTTTTGGCCTAATGTTGACATATAGGTTACAAGGAAGTGGAGGTGGGGCAATGACACCATAGTCTAAGGAATGCCTTGAAAGCTTGAATCACTGTTAGGAAACAGCCAAAAGAAACAACTCATGAAATGAATCAGGCTTCTGAACACACAAAAGCAAAGTGGGAAGAATTCGATGCAAGTCATGAGTGGCTCCTCCAGAATTCCCTTTGTCTGTACTTAGAGTTACAGCAATAAGGATACAAAAGCCGTCTGCAGAATTTCCCCAGATGAAATGAGAAATAAATAAATGGGAAGGGTGAGCAGTGTGAGGAAATGTAAGCTCTATGAAATGTGCAGGCTTTGTGGTTACGGCACTTTGAACTGATATTCACGCTTGATGTAGGTAGATTCTGTAGCACTGGTATGCCATAACTGCCGGCATCTAAGTGTGGACTAATGAACTTTGAGAATAAACTCCAACCTTGGGCTGTTGAGGCCTGATACGTTGTCATGTGAAAGGAAGCGAGACTGATTTCTGCCATAATGGATAGCAGAGATGCGTTTAAATACGAGGATTAGTATGTCTGCCTCCGAGATGGTAAAGTTACTTTGGAATCTTTCATGGGACATAGGCCAAGGAGGGTTTGCAGAGGAATCTCCCTTCTTTTCACCCTTTAGTGATCACTTTACGGTGGCTCTGTTTAACCACAGAAATAAATTTTATGAATGTTGGAAGCAGAAGATGGCAACTCATCATAGCATCTAGACATATAGGTTTGGATTTGAACGTATATATACACTTAGGAAAGAAGTGAAGGTACTTCTTTAGACACCACTGTTTTTGTCAGGCCAGCCATCTTCATGGATGTGTACATGCACACTTGTGCATTTAAGGCAAGCACTTCAAATATCTTTGCACAGTTCCTACTGAACATGTAAGACCTTTGGAAGCAATATTGTCTAGCTCCATACCTAGTTTAATTTTTAAAATTTTGTGACTAAAAAGAAAAATCTTAACTATGGCATCATACAAATCCTTCATGCTTTTTTGTTTTGTTTTTATCGTCTGTTTCAGCTCACTCCATCACTCGATGCTATAATATGAGGTTTCTACTTTGGAGAGGCCAAGTTTAATGAAGAGAAAAAAAGGAAAAGAAGTTAAAAGAAGTTGCAAGACACGAATAAAATCTGCTGCAGCTTGTAAATGCTCTAACTGGACATGAAGGCAGGGGGCGGGGGAGGGGGTGGGATTTTTGGTGCAAGTAGCACATGGTTTAAATATGAATGAACAAACCTGTGATCTAGTCCTTGTCTTGTAATTGTGGATTAATGTCAACGTTAATCAGCCCCCTCAAAGGGAGAGAAAAGCTGGACCTTTTCCCTTGCTGTACCATATTCAGCATTTGATTTCCATGGGCTCCACCATTTATGTGTAAAATTTGAAATGGTTGTCACCTCTCTGAGGAGAGAGCTTGAAGCCTCCACACCAGCTGCTGCTGGAGAGTCAAAGCCCAACTGTGGGTCCAAGGGGAAGCTGGCTGGGCTGGCTGAAGAATGAGGACCACTGGACTCTCCGTTAATCTCTAAGGGGTCTGCTCCCCAGGAACGTTTCCGAACAATGGGGACTTTGTTGGTAGCCATTTGGTAGATGTTCTTTTCTATTTATAAGTGACTTTAAACTTTTCCTTGGCTGTTAAGAAGTTTGTTATAGATTTAGCTATTTATTGTTTGATGCCTGCATGCTGAAACAATGCCTACAGCTGTCTTCACATGTATGGACGTGTGTGAATGGTTGTATGTTTTGCACATTTTGTGGCTGTTGAGATGTGCTTTGCTGCACAAACATGAAAACTTTTGAGTTACAATTTGGAGTATAACTGGAGGGTGGGTTGGGGAGGGGTGGATTTTAAAAATGTCAAGACAGGGAAGGATGACAAAATGGAAATTTAAATGACATCCTAGAGGTAGAAAAACCGTGGAGATCACTTTTCTCAGACTCACCAGATTTTAATGGGATTTCATGGGGTTTGGTTGTGCTGATGGGGTAAGGGAAGACTTCTTTCTGCCCTTCTCCCCACTCCCATCTGATTTACCTAATTCAGTCTCAGCTGCTGAAATTTGGAAAGGACCAAATTGCTTTACAGTTTTTTTCTTTGTGTAATATCTTGAAATCCTGGAAAATTCTATGGAATAGTTCTGTATATAGGACACAGGTAAAGGCATTGTCCAAAGTTTATTTATTTATTTATTACCTTATGAGAATGCTTTGCCACAACCACAGTTAATGGGAAAAACGGAAGTATCACAGATGGAAATTAACTCACCAGATTTCTTGACCCGAACTCCTTCTCTTCTTGCTATATGATTTAGCAAGTTCTAGAAGGTCTCCAAGACAATAATTACATTGGCACAATGTATACTTCAGTGCTCACCCTTAGGCAAATCTCTTTTTAAAAAACTCTTTGGTGCACGAGTAACACATTTGGCCACAAAACACCAAAGAATTGTAAGCAGTGGCCCCTATTGAGAAGTTTTCCGGCAGAGTTGGAAATCAGTTGTGAATACATTCTTTGCTAGTTGGAGTGCTTGTTTACTAAGCATGTGCCGTCGTAGGTATTAGTGCTAGTCTCAAATAGGTGCTTCCCCCGAGGTGCGGGGGAAGACCAAAGTTTGCAACTTGAACTGCTTTCGTCCACGTTTCTCACATTGCTGTATTTTAGAAAATAGGGGTTAAGACTGATAACAACCTTTTACATTGTGACCGTGTTTGCATTGTCTAATGACAGATAAATCCTTAACATTTCTCTCCACCTTAGTACTTTAGACTAATTGTGCTTGTCCATCCATGCCATCAATGAGTGGGCTGTAGTTGGGCCAAAATAAATGAGCTGTTGGAAGAAAGGAATAACAGTACTTTCCAGCAGTCAGTCCCTGGTTCCTAGATGTGTTCTAAGCAATGCAAATGTCTAATTGTCCCCCAGTGGGCATAGTCAGTGTCGTTTATATTGTAGCAGTTACAGCTCTGTAGTTTATGATGCAAATCTGCCAAGAGAGATGTATGTGTCACTGCATGGCTTCTGAAAGCAGGATGAATTTTCTGCAGCTGTTTCAAAGTTGGGGTCTGTCCTTGAATCCTCTATTAATTACTGTGTGTGAGCCAGAGGGAGCTGTGGTAAGGGTTGGGCCCCCAGCCTGCAGGGAACTTTCTGGACTCCTGCTCTTTGAATTGATATAGGCATTTGGTCTCACTACTTGACCATTCTCACCCTGTGAAACGTCCCACACTTTGAAGCAAATACAATTCACAGCACAGTACACACAAAAACCTTGGCATAAGACAGAGAAGGTTCTTCTTATTTTGTGGGCTGGTTGCTGTAGAAACACATAACAAAGGGCAGCCCTCCACTTCTGGTATAATTGTGTAGCCGCTTTTCTCTGGGCTTGACACCTGTCTTGAATAAGAGTGATTAGAGCCGCATAATGTCCCTCTCTTGGCTATTGACCATGTGGTTCACGTACAAAACTGTATAAGTTGAAGGAAAATGTTCATGTTCATATGTACTTGTTTGCTATGACTACATTTTGAGGTTTTGTAAAACTGTTATTTTTTTTTTTTCACAATGTGAAACTGAAGGTCAATAAATTATTAGAGATTTTCTCTTCATTATGTGTGTGGGTCTTTATTTGAATAAGACACAATTTGAGGCATTGTAAACTTGTGCCTTTTCTCGTTTGTCCAAAGAAGGATCGTTTCAGATATTCTGAACGTGTTTTATTTCACCATTTAGTGATATTTGCAAAGGTAATTTTGCATACTAAGTAAAACTTTTGTTGACCATTAGAGTATCTCTTTAAGCAAAACAAAATCCCTCATTTATGGGTTATTCGCAGCTGGGAATGTAACAAGTCACACGCCATGCGATATTAAGACAGAGTACTTTATGTTAGAATGAATTTAGTTTTTTGAAATCCTCACGTGGGTTATATTTTGACAGAAAGCTGTTAGAGAAGGAGCTGGAGTTCAATCCTCTTTTCATCTGCTGACATCTGCTTTAGAAATCATTTAAAGTGGAAATATATGCATATTATTTCTGTACTGCAACAGAAAAGCACAAGTTTAACCCCTCATGGATACCTAGCTTCTTCCAAGCCGATGGCTGTCCTAGCTGGCTCTGCAAAAGGCCAGTTGAAGCCTCCTGCCCCATCTCATGATGGCTTCATGTCACACTGAGATGCTCCTTTATCGCTCAGATTGGAACCCTTATTGTTTCAGTGTGCAGAGCAAGGTTGGACATAACCTTTTCTGGGTAGAAAATAAATATTACCTAATTGGGAACTCTAGGAGAGCTCACAAGTAGGCATAATGCAATTACAGCCTTTGGACTTTGATCAAGATGCCAGAGCAGATGCCTTGGGTTTGACAGGAGGATCATTCGGTTCTGTGCCGTGTGAAGCTGGTCTAGAGCCAAGCCTTTGGGGACCAGTGTCAGCCCTCAGATTCCAAGTGCATGATGTTGAAGACCCCTGGAAACCCTGTTGATGACACCATATGGATGACACTAAATGACAGGGAAGAAGGGCAGGTTAGTTAGGAGTTGACGGATGGGATTTAGGCTCAGGAAAACGTCTTGATGTTAATCCCTAGAGGGGTTGAGAATGGTTCCTATAGAAATGATCGTGAACAGATATTTCATTCTCTAGAGTTGTTTCTCTTTATCATCTCAGTTGGAACATGTAGACAGATTAAAAAGATACTTCAAATTCTTAATTTTCATTCATTTGGAAATTTGATTTCATTTAGATAGATCACACCAAACAGTGGCTATGGTAATAAAAATCTGGCCACAGTAGGGAAACGGGTTGGAGGTCAGCAGTCCAGGGCCGGGACAGCACCCTGACGAGGCCATCAGGCCTCATGCTTGCAGGATGGCAGCTGCACCTTATGGCATCACATCTGCTTTCCAGGCAGCAAAAGTGCGGGCAGACAAAGGGGAAAGGCCTCAGGCCAGAGGACATTCTTCCTTTTTCTTGGAATAGTAATAGTTTACCCGAAAGGCTCACTGGGAGACTTACACTTACCTCTCAGTGGCCAGAACTGGGATACGTGAACTTCCCAAGATAAAAGAGAGCCTGGGGAGGCAGTACTTTTATCTGGCACACTGCCACCCCATAGCAATGTGATTTAATTAGTAAGGAACAAAGGGAGAGCAGACGTTGGAGGGGGAACTACACAGATTATTCTCTGTAGTAGGTAGGCTTATCTATTACAGCAATAGTTCCCAGCCTTTTTGGCACCAGGGACAGGTTTTGTGGAAGACAGCTTTTCCATGGATGGGGACTGGGCCCAGAGGCGGCAGGGATGTTTTTGGGATGAAACTGTTTCACCTCAGGTCATCAGACAACAGATCAAGCTTGTCCAACCTGCCACCCAGGACAACTTTGAATGCATCCCAACACAAATTAATAAACTTTCTTAAATTATTTGTGATTTGTTTTAGCTCATGAGCTATTATTAGTGTATTTTATGTGTGGCCCAAGACAATTCTTCTTCCACTGTAGCCCAGGGAAACCAAAAGATTGGACATTCCTACATTAGATTTTCATAAGGAGTACGAAACCTAGATCCCTCATATGTGCAGCTCACAATAGGGTTTGAGCTCCTGTGAGAATCTGCTGCCTCCGCTTCCCCGGCTCCGCTGATCTGACAGGAGGCAGAGCTCAGGCAGCAATGCTCGCTCGCCCAAGGCTCGTCTCCTGCTGTGCCGCCCACTTCCTAAGAGACCACGGGCACTGGTCCGTGGCCCAGGGGCTAGGGACCCCTGTACTACAGGGAATCATTAAAGAGTCAACATAAACTATAGCCGCATTCATTAAGTGATGAGCTGAGATTGTGCTAAGGACCTGCTTTACAGTTATCTCATTTAATCCTCATGACAAATTGAGGTGAATAAAGGGAGATTTCTTAACATCTCTGAGCCATAGATCCTCTGCCTGTAAAATAAGCATGACTAACATTCCTTCTAATAGAAAAATTCAATAATATAAGAAATTTAAGAGCAAGTACCAGGTTCAGTGCCTGGCACATAGTAGGTCTTCAGTAATTTTTAGTTGTCATTTTAAAACTTTATGGGGAGAGAGACACACATAAAAATCTGAGTGCTTATGCTGTGCCAGGGACTGCGTTAAGGGTTTGCATGCCTCTCACCTTGTTCATCCCCGCTGGCAACCCTGTGAGAGCAGGCGCTATTATTACTCTCAGTTTAGAGATGAAGAAACAGGTCTTGAGAGATTATATAACTTGCCCAAGGGAGTGGTGGAGGTGGAGTTCAAGGCACACTCTGACCTGCTCCTCCAGGTCCAGGAATGTAGAGGAAGGTGATTCACAGGGCTGAGCCTGACTGTGAGAAACCCAGGGCTGCCCTGCGTTCCATTGTGTGGGGAACACCGACTCTGTGAGGTGGTCTGAGGAGACCTGCGTCTGGTGAGCCCCGCCCTGGACATGAGGACTGAAGAAGCCAATGGAAAGAGTTGATTGAGACTCAAAATGTTCCTTGACAGCCAGTTTCAGAAGATAAGGTTGTAGAGAATTTAAAAATAAATGGGGGCTCCTGGGTGGTTGTTACACTTGATCACTCATTGAGCTGTACATGGATGCTTTTTGTGCTCTTCTGTTTGTAAAATGTTAATTGACTGAGTGATTGAATATACCCGTGGATCATGGCCAGACCATGTATAAAAATGGAACTCTGACCCCCAGTCTGCAGCAACCGGCCTAGGAAACCCACACATTGTCTGCAGTGATCAGCCCAGGAAACCAGCCTGCTCTCTGTAAGTCAGACCTGTAAGAAGTTAGACCACTATCTCTGGCAACTGGTTTAGAAAGCCAGATCATAACCCCTGTATTATTCGCAGTCAGCCCCAAATGGCCAGGACTTGATTAATAACTGACTACTTCCTTGATTTTCATCCTTGCTTCTAACTAAGGACCAGCCAGAGAAAGCCAAACATGTACCCCTATCCAGACACCACAGGATGCCCACTTCTGGTTGACCCACTTGCAGCTTCCCCATGCCAACAGGCTCCAATCAAACCTGAAGACATCCCTTTCTTCCCCACACTGAAATTTTCCCTTTTCTCCGTCTTCCTTTGAGTCTCTGCCAAAATGCAAGTGACAGTGGCTGACTCCCTTGCTATATAGCAAGCTCTGAATAAACAGTCTTCGCTTGTTCACATTTGGCTGGTCATTGTTTATTTCCACAGACAAATGTTTGCTCAATAAAATAATTAAATGTTTCAATAAAAAGGCTCACAAAAATGAAGTGGGGACCAACATTCTGGGTTCTAGGCAAGCTGGGTTTTCAGAAGGTTGCTGTTATCCTCCTGACAGAGTAAATGAAATGTACACATGCATATAGCATGAGAAAAATGGGTTTTGAGTTAATGGGCTTGAGATTAGGGCGTCTGGTTTGCAAAAGGAGAACAGTTGCTTTGTTTGGGAATATTTTGAATAAAGTGAGAACACTTAAATAAGTTTTATAGCCATATTCATGGTGCGCATGAATGTACAAATAAATGCAAAAACTTAGCAGTTAATTCCTGGTCTTGCCTGTCACAAATCTTAAGTGCTTTGCCTGTCTGACACATACTCAGACTAAGCCATCTGTCCTGAATTTGAATTTAATCGTAGACAATGAATTTTAAGGCTCTGTTACATGTCAGACATTGGACAACTAGGTGCAAGACCTAACTTTCAGAGGGAAAAAAATGTACATTGAGGCATGACGATGAATTAAAAGCAATTTGACTAAGTAAATTATAAATCTACCATAATCTGGTCCAGCTCTACTTACAGCCCAGCTCTCTTTGTGAGTCCTGGGGAAACCAAATGAGACAAAGTTTCTGTCTTTCTCTCTCTGGTCCTGTTTCCGTGGCAACCATAATCTTTATCTCTGCAAAGATGGGGGACTGCAGCAAGAAAAGGCAGTTGGAATTTCAGCAAAGACTCTCACTAACCCTTTTCTTGTGTTATCAGATGATTCGTTTTGTTATGAAAAGTTATTTTACACCCGCTTTTTAGATAACATGGAGAGGGTTTATTGGATATTCTAGAAAGACTGTGAGGATTTTTTTGTCCATGAGATATGCTAATATTGTATCCACAAAGAAGATGAAATCAGCTCCTTGGTAGACACAAACTAGGCACCTGCAAAGTGGGAACTAAAATCTCTCTTTCTCTCTGAGGCTCTAATGAACACATATGAAAGCTCTAAATTGCAAATACACCTGCCCCACTCACCCACCCACATACATTCTGGCCAAGGCATTGCTGCCAGGGGAACCATTTTCAGAGAACAAATTTTGTAATTTTGAAATAATCTCTATACTCTGAGGCGAATGAAAGGAGAAAGGAAAAGCAGAAGATAACCTTGTGGGGATGTTTCTGGTAGTGGTGGCCTCTTCACAGCCCTTTCTGGTACTTTCAGAGGGTCCACCTATTCGAGAGACAGGGGTGCCAATCAGCACTCTTTTTCAAAACGGGAATACCTCAACTGCATTTTGAGGGCTGTTAGTCATTCACACATTTATATGAATCAGGTCCATCTGAAGGCTGGGTAGGCGGCTGGGAGTGGGGCTCAGACCTAGGGGAATACCAGGATCTTAGGA